AGGTGTGTCACCAATGCCACTCTAAGCTATGGGCTTTTATATCATGTCCTGCATACTCAGACTTCTGAAGAGCTATAGTAAAAACAATGGATATAAGCTTTTTAAGCACACAAAATGCTTTTGGCATTGTGCCTTAATTCAGATATTCATCTGAAATCTCTTAATGTATTTCTTAGCATATAAGTTATATTTATGTTTTTAAAAATAAAAGTAGTTTAAAAAATAGATCCTCCTGCCAGTGTATGAAATACCACTTTCATCCTGCTTTCATCCACACATTCTTCAAATAAGGACCCAAATTCTTACGGCTTCTTCTTCCTATGCTTTTCAGAGGTGGAGTCTACCTGGGGAACACCATCTTGAGGGTCAGAGGTGATGAATTTTAAGTGTTTAGTTTTCAGATGAAATGTGTGTACATCTTACACATGCATTACAGCCACTTTTTAGTTTATACAGAGTTCTATCTCTTTTTTAATTACCCAAGGCATTCTGATTACAGAGCTAAGAAGTTGTCTATTCAAAGTTGGGTTTTACAGTGATTTAATTGGCACAAAAAGCATATGGAATAGAAAACATTTACTTTCCTTCCTCTTCTTATATTGCCAAATACATTTAAATCAAACTTGTTTCAAAAAACAAATATTCCCAGGCTAACTAAGGACGGCAGTATTAACTTTCAGTTCCAGACAAGTTGTTACTGCTGAATTAGAAACCCCTGGCAATTTTTTCTTGGTGAAATGCAAATGATGACATATCGTTAACTAGAAGCATTACACCACTAAAATACTGAGATGTGTCTTGTGTGCCTCAAACCTCCCTTTCCTTGAGTACAACGCCTTAGAGGCAGCAGTGTTTAAATGGTACAAAGTACTCCACTACCACCAGCCTGAATCTCCATTTAGGAGAACAAGCTTCACATTCTTTCCTTCTCGTGCAGTGTATGGGCATGTCCAGCTCCTTCACAAAACACACCCGTACACTATCACGCTCTAAAACAAGGTGCAGTACTGACATGACAGATTCATGTTCCCAGCTGTGACATAAGGCCTCTTTGACAATACGACAGTGAAAGCCCTATTAAGAAAACATGTGCCGGACCATGCATCTGACACAGTTAAATGCTATAAAAGATTTTCCAGGTGTTAAGGAGTTCCATTAAGGAGCTGGAAATGAGATAGGTCTGTGCACTTCGAAATTCTCAAGAAACAGGACTCAGACACTCAGAGAGACACACAAACAGTGCTTTATATATACATCACTAGTGAAACTCTGCACCTGACCACACGAGGTGATGAGCAACCCTGACTATTCATTGAAGGAACTGTTCATTCAGGACGGTTTGCATGGGAAAAGACTGACTTTCATGTCCTCCTGCAGATTACTGCATCCTTTTTGCTTTATTTGTGACTGAAAATAGTGCTAGCTATTTTCTCCTTGTTTTTCTTAAGGCAAACATTATGTCTCTTACCTCACTTCTGATTCTTCTTTATTTTACAAGAGATGCAGCTTGAGCCAGCAGAGATCAGAACCTGTAACTTATCCCGTGCTAAGGTACAACTAGTCACAGTTTATGCTTTTGAAGGACAGAAATACACACTCTCTTGCATACTATGAAATGGCAATGGTTGAATTTTTTCAACGCAACATTAGAGATTTGGATACTATATTCTATTAAAATCAGATAAAACTAAAAAAGCTATCTATAAAACCTACAGATTGCCTTGAAAATTTTAACCACTGATGTTTCAGAGTATGTGCATACACTATCTTGTACCTGGGGTACCCACAATAGAGTTGTTTGTTCCTATTATCTTTTAACTTGATAAAAGATTGTTTCATTTCCTTAACATGCATGAATTTTATGGTAACTGTCCTTTGAGAGCTAAGTTCGTTTTTGTCTAAGATGACAGGTACACTGTGGGAAGGCTGCAATGCAGACTTTTTTTGCATGCTTTTGTGACCACAACCTCAGCCCTAATCCTGGCATACAACTGCATGGGGAGGGGGGGAAGGACTTTGTCTCTATGCTAACTCCAGCCTTCTTTTTTAAGGAAAAGTTCCTAGTAATGCTAGTCAAGAGAACCAACAGAGAGTCTGTTCCAGGAAATGAACTAAGACCAAACTAGCTTATTTCCCATAATGAGAAAAAGTCAAATGTACTTTATCTTTTCTAATATAATATCCCAAGTCCTCTTCCTCTACAACAAGAGATGCACTCATTTAATGTAACTTTGGGAATGAAATTTTCTTTAAGATGTAGGATGACTGGATGAAGAAAATAAACCAACAAACCTAACAGCATGTTGACAGAGATTCTTGAAACTAAAATGTTAAGAGTTAAAATTCTGCAGGCTTGCCAGGTGTTCTGTGCAAATGCTGGTTTCATACAATGTAGTATCTGACCATTTAACCATATGTCAAACAAACTCTGCTATGACAAACAGATGTAGACACTGCCATGGAATGAAATTATCATTTTATTAATTACCCTTTAATTAGTTGATACAGCAGAGAACATGCAGTAATTTAGTCATAATTGTCCTGACTAAGACTCAATACTTACAGGGATGGAATATGTTTGTGAGGCTACTTGTTATGAATAACAATTACATCTGTGACAATGCAATTTTATTATGAAGATGTACTATGCATTTCAAACAACTTTTATGTATAAGATAGTATTCAGCATTTATCTACAATTGAATAGCAAATGTTTTCCCCAAATAGAAGTATGCAATCCTCTGTGTATTTTGCTAAACATACTATAACAAAGCAAGAAAGACCTCTTCCCAAACTTACTGTGATGCCTGGAACATGTTTTCAATGCTTTTTATTATAGAAATGAGGAGCCATTTGGTAAATTTTGTATTTGGAAATGCGAGAAAAATACTTCAAAGTTCTCCCCAAATCTTTAAACTATTTGGGAATTTAATACAATATTTAAGCAAGAGATACAGCTGTTCAGATTGTCAGAAACATTTGCTGTATGATCATAACAAGCAGGCAACAGTGCCTCTTATGAGTTCACTCCACTTTCTGAATTTCCCAATTTCAGAATTCCCAAATTCCCAAAGAAGAGGTGAACAGAAGATTCTTAAGTGTCTCAGACAGGACACGCTCAGTTGAAGCTGGCAACAGCCTCCTCTAGACTATACTGGTAAGTAAAATGCCTTGAAGACTTTCCCTCAATCCCTTGCAATTACATTAGGAGTATTTTCTTTCTACACAGAGTACAGGGTGGGTATCACCTATTTCTGCATGTGCAGTGATAGAAGATCATATTGCACTGAATTTCTTCTTAAATCTTGCCCAATTCCAAACTTTTATTTATTTATTTATTTATTTATTTATTTATTTATTTATGATGGACAGCCATGCTATAGAGATGTCTCTCAGCCAAATGAATCCTTCAGAGAAGTTTTTTAAAGTCAAGGGAGTCCTGTGACGGATGAATCTGCATCCTTTACAAATAGACTTCAAACGATCCTTTTACTTTGCTCAGATGACAACTTTAAGTTTTCTCTGTTTTAAGCACAATATTCTTCCATTCTTTCTGATCATTCATTCCACTTTTATACTTCTTTATCTATATTCATATATCTGGGAAAGCCTACTACTCGTGAAAGAAAATAGCAGTCATTGCCCCGTGGTGTTATCTTTCAGTTAATACCAGTAAGTCATGTTACATTTGCCTGTAAGCGCGACCTGCTTGACAACTCGTAAGCACCTCCAGTGCAAATACACACAGGTCCTGCCATGCTACTGGGAACAGCTAACACAGTGTAACAAGAGATCATTTCATTAGACTCCCATGAAAGAGCTAGCACTGCAAGGAACTTGAACTGGGACACAATCACGGTATAAAAAACTTAAAACAGTCTACCATTAAAACCTTGTGTGACTGCTTGAAAAATGTCTTAGAGCAGCACAAAAGCTGGCACCATTAGCTTTCATCCCTGCTGAGTGGGCAATAAAGTGTACACATAAGTAAAACGCATTAATTGGTATTAGTCAATCTCGTTAAGATGTTCATTCTCCAGGCATCTTCAGATTTCATTTCCATAAAATGGGATTTCTTTAAGTCTCATAATTTGATTTTGTCCAACCCGAAACGATGTTGACACAGTGGCAGCAACAGCACAATTACATCCTCGTCTTACAAAGGTCTCCTCTATCTACATAGACTGGAGACCACGTGTTCCCAGGCTGCAGAAAAAAAAAAAAAAAAAAAAAAAAAAAAAAAAACCCAAAAAAAAAGGCAGAAGAGGAAAAAGTGATACATTTTCCTATATCTATTTTTCATCCCTTTCCCTCCTATTTTCCTACTGTGCACTACTGATTACTGCACTTTAAGATCAGAATGAACAATTAACTGCCTAATTATTCCAGTCACACCAAGCCACAATGAAATCTTTATTCAGTGTTTACAGCAATCTTTGGCAGAGACTGTCTTGCTGTTTTTAAACCAAGAAGAACTGCTCCCTTTGGCTCCCCTCAGCATCAGCTGCCTTGGTTTCAGAGCTGGATGCCAATAATCAGCCTCCTTTTTCTCCTCCAAAGTGGCTATTTTTTGTGGAAAAAAAAAAAAAAAAAAAGGGTGAAAAGACCTATTCTCATAAACTCCCCATATATTCTGCCTGATTTATGTCCCAGCCACTGGGTCTCTTCCTTCCGTATCTTTTACCACTCGCGCCCCCCCGCCGCATCCTCGCCGGGCCCCGCAGCGCCCCGAGGGGCCCGACGGGGCGAGCGCGGGAGCAGGGGACACTTTTGCAGCCCCGGCGCACGCACCCGTTTCTAGCGGTTTTGCCCCCTTTTCTGCAGCCCCCCCACCGCTTTCCACCACCTCGGCGGCTCCCCCCGGCCCTGCGCCCCTCACGCCCTCGCCAGGACCTCTTCCCTCCCCGGGAAAGTTGGAGGGAGCCGCTGCGAGCCCCGGGCGGCTCCGCGTGTCCCGCGCCGAGCCCCGCGGAGCCCGCTCCGTGCGCGCCGCTCCGCACCTGGAGCCGGGAAGCGACAGGTCCCGGGAAAAGTCCGGAGCAGCCTCGTGCGGCGTCTGTGCGTCTGTCCGCCCGCCTCGCCCTCCCACCGCAGCCGGGGAGTGAGGGAGAAAGGAAATAAAGTAAAAGGAAAAAGAGAGAAAGAGAGAGAAAGAGGGAAAGAGAGAGAAAGAGGGAAAGAGAGAGAAAGAGGGAAAGAGAGAGAAAGAGGGAGAGAGAAAGAGGGAAAGAGAGAGAAAGAGGGAGAGAGAGAGAAAGAGGGAAAGAGAGAGAAAGAGGGAGAGAGAAAGAGGGAAAGAGAGAGAAAGAAGGAAAGGAAGAGAGAGAAAGAGGGAGAGGAAAAGAGAGAAAGAGAGAGAGAGAGGAAAAAAGAGTGAAAGAGAAAGAGGGAGAGAAAGAAAGGGAGAAAGAGGGAAAGAGAGAGGGAAGGAATTGGACGAGGAGGGGAAAAAAAAA